TGTTTTTTTTTTTATTTTAAAATCCCCCTATTTATTGGGTTTTTCTTCTTTTTTTTTTTAAATCATTTAATCCACCCCAAATACGCCGTACTCTTGGGCTCTCTCAAATCTATAAAAAACCCCCCCCCCACCCCCCGCCGTTTAGCGAAAAGCCAAATTTGTGACTAACACTGCAGGTAATGCTTTGTCGAAAGCACACGGAATGTACTCGGAGAGTTCCTAAACTGAGTTATTTCAATTGGAGAACTGCAGGGCTTTCCGCGGATGGAAGGAAAATGACTCCGACTAGGAAGAATAAGGCAGGTCCAAAAAGGATGCACAGTTGCCAGTTGCACACATCGTCGCATTTCCTCAACTGAGCGTAGCTCAAACCAGACCGCATGAATCCATAGACTCCGAAACATGATCATATCTCCCTGTTATTTGGCGTATGCAGGGATCAGGAGCTGCTGGACAAATAAGATATTGGTTTGATCCATTATTACGTTTGATGGTATCCCCTATCTAGGCTGTAATTGCATGCCCCAGCTGCGGCACACCCGACGCTTGGCGGAGGAGAATGGTTGCTTGCTGCCTGTTGATCGTACGAATTGCCGTGTTCCCAGATGCTCATCAAGGTTTCCTTGGCGGCAATATGGTGAGGAGATTCCACATCTCCAAGCAGGTACGACACGGCCGGTCATTTCTAGGCAGACCTCGGCGTGCAATGTGGACGGCGATTCCAGACACAACAGTGCAACCTCGGACTTTCGGAAGCTGCGGGAAACGAACAGACAACGTGTCAAAAGAAATGTCGAATGATCGAGTGCAGTGTATCGGCGAGGCAGGTACACGAGGTCTAGACCCATGCGCTCAAGTGTTGGCCAGAATCATCAGATGGAAAAGGAACATATCATTTCCAGACTTGGACAGAATAAAGATCCTTCTGCAGTCCTCAATCCACAACCACGACATCGTCCGCATCCATAAATCCACTATCAGTGTTCAGTGGAGTATTACTGTTGCCAGCCTGTGGCGGTATGTCGTCGACTTCATCTATGGGTCCTGTCGCAGTGGAGTACCAACCCTTATCAATCGATTCCACCACGAATCTGCACGCATCGGCGACAAGCTCCAAATACGCGGGATTCTGGTTTGACAAAAACATGCTGATATGGGCCCTGACTTCGTCCGCTGCCCTATCATTGATCGCCCTGACCCACGAGAATCCCGATTCGGGAAATTTCGGCGTGCCTTGACCTGCCTCAACCTCAGCCGGCAGGGTGCAGAAAGTGCGGTGCTTTGAGCGTATGATTCGTTGACTAAACGAAGTCTTGCCTTGATTTGTATTACTCTCGACCAATGATGGAGCACCTTTGCCCAAGCAGGTATAGAAATTTGTGCAGCATATCCCTCGTTCTTTATGCACGTTGGACAGGAGCGCCAGACGCTGTCGTAATTCCGATGGGCGCGCTAAGCACCCAACAAAGATCAGATGCGAAGAAACCCAGTCCCAACCGTCCGTCAGTCGTTGCCGTTGTGAGTACATTGCAGCGGCGCCGCCTGCAGCCATGGCACCTGCAGCCCCTGCAAACATGGCATACCGACCCCAACGCTGCCAGGATGGTGTGGCAGCAGCATCAGTAGCCGAGGCAGGAGTACTGGCAGGTGACGAAGGTAGAGGCTTGGGCTGTGTTTGCTGTGTGGCGTTCGAGCCTTTGCTTGATGGGTTACTGGCTCCTCCGAAACCGAACAGGCCAGCTACTTCCGAGATTGTGTTATATGCAGTCGTGACATTCTTGTAATGTCCTTCGGCACCGTAAGACACAACTCCCGGAGCGATTCCCAGAAACGGTGTATCGAATGCAAGCACGCCCTGAATATGAGGAAACATGAATGAGCCGGGTTCCACGAGACGTGAGCTTCCGGCAGTCTTCGAGTCTGCTTCGGAGCCAGCTGAAGCATGGCTTGAGGATACATCTGAGTAGGTTTTTGAAGGAATAGGCTGTTCTGATGCGAGCAACAACAGGGTCTCAGCTGCGACAATGCCACCCATAGAATGACCGACTAGGAAAACGTGGACGGAAGGGTCAACGGTCGGCGAAGCGGTACGATTTGCTACTTCCAAGTCGATAACTTTGTTCTGGAGCCTACGCAAGGAGATAGATGTCAGCGAGATTGCAAATCAAGTATGAATCGTCCAAGCCCGTCGTCTCGACATACCATTCCCGGAATCTCCCCACACATTCTTTCAGACCACCGCGAGTCTCATACTTGGGATATACCACCGTAGCTACCTTGACGGCGGGAAGCGAACGAGCAACTGCAGCACGTAGACGATCTGGAAAATTGGCGAAAGTGTCGTCATCGCCCTATGTAGACACATGTGGTTAGTATGAGGGTTGATCGAGTTTCCCCAGCTTTCCTGACACGCGAGCAACAGGGACATTAGGCAAGCGAACGGACCTTGAACCCGTGGATGAAAACCAACAGCAGTGTCTTCCTCATGATAGGCCGTTTTGTTGATGAGGATGATACATCTTTGCGCATGTTCGAGAGCCAAGAAGGGACTTCGAACGGTAAGAGCTACTCACCAAAAATGGTCTGGAGATAAGTCTCTGTATCGCGTTACGTCATTGGTCCCTGTATCATCACGTGTCCGACCTGGAACGCAGAGACCAATTATATTTTATGGTGTCGATCAATTTTGTTCAATTGCAGATGTATCCGTCCTCTACTCCGTACACGACTTTAATCCGTCCATCTAGGAAGGGACACCTCTCTTCATCATGGCGATGCACCCAGAGCATGATTTTATCGGATAACCTCTAAAGACCACTAAAAACACATGAGAAAGTCAGGACACTCATAAATGATGACCAAATAATCTGCACAAGACACCTGCAACGCATCTCATAAAGAGTTGATTATGTGATCATTCATCATTAGATTGCTTCTAGCAACCTGAATCGATAGTCTATCCACATCCTCGGCTCATCTACTCATCTCAATCTCTCCACACCCAGACCGGCCCGAGGCCGACTCGGCGATTGGCCAATCGATACTTGGGTGGATCATGAGCATCCATACCTCTAGATCTCAATCATGCTCCAAAGTCTCAAAGCTCACATCGACGAGCAAGTATATATAACGAAGCCGCCTTCATCTCGCTCCACCACATCCTGTAGTCAACGCTATACCCAGACCGAAAACCAAGAAGCCAAAGATGTCCTCAGACGCGATCTACAACATCGTGAAGCTGGTCCCCAAGCCAGGGAAGTATGACGAGGTATGGCCGCTAACTCCTTGTCACGAGTGACCAGTTTCTAACTCGAGATCAACCAGGTCGTAGAAGCATTCGCGGCCCTCGCGAAGCATATCGAGACGCACGAGCCCAAGACCCAAATCTACTTCGCCATTAGACCCGAAGGAACCGATGAGCTGATCATCGTGGAGAAGTGAGTCTCGTCTCGTCTCATTCACCAGCGATTCGGTCTGAGAATCATGGGGAGGCTAACGCTGAGCAAGGTACACCGACGCAGCAAACCTGAAGGAGCATGCGTTGACGCAGGAATTCAAGAACTTTTCGCGTCGGCTTGCGCCTTGCCTGGCGCAGCCGCCTGAAATGAAGAGGTCGAAATTCCTTACTGGGTTTGATGGGCGCTCGAAGATCTAGGTCGTTTGCCCATTCAATGCCAAAGATGCTGCTGTACGGAATAGTTTGAATGGCATACCTGTCTGAATGAGGGCTTTTAATGTTAAAAAGGGGACTATAACCTTGTGCAGACAATGAGAGCTATCTCGTTTGTATAATAAATACCTGCAGAATAGCCAATTGAACTTGGATCTCAGCAAGCAATGGCCGATAAACTCCGACTACTAGCAGTCAAAGGAGGAATAGTAGTGATGAGGGACATAGAATTTTGCAACCATCATCTCATCGGGTTTACTATCGTGTGTGAATGGCATGAACTGTCCATCATACCGCTGGAAGAACCGCTCCAGACAGCGAACTCAACCATCGATTTCTTGCTGAACCAGGGAGCTTTCTGGTGCCCGGTGACCAAAGACTTTCTCTTTCGTTGGCAAGATTCAATCTGTTTCGGGCTCAATTCCGGCTATTGGCTTGTGCAGCCATTCTGATAGCTTCCGTATGTATAGAATGCAAGTCGACAGGGCCTAGGAGCCACTGGGAACAGTATCGTCAATCGAAGAGCGATGTCTCCCTAGAGCCTATCACCAATAAAAAGAAATGAAAAGCAAAAAGGGCTGAACTGCAGACGAAGGCAAAGAAGCAAAACCAGAAGCCGCATGAAATCGGTAGACTCTCCTTGGAAAACTACAGCAAAGCGGACTGACTAGTCTCCCCCAAGCCAAACACCATTGATGAGAAACGATAATCAAGAAAAGGTCGGCACAATGCACTATATTCCTAATGCTTATATGATATGTGTAGTTATCAAGTTCGCTCGTGATCATGCTGACGCGGCCGAGGTTGAATCAAGGCGTCTAAAAACTTCCAATGCAGCCTGTTTACGCCTTGGTTAAGAATGACCGGCGAGTAAGAAATATTGAAACCGGTATCCGTATGAGCCCCCCTCCCCCTAAAACAAACGCAACCTATTGAAAACCCCAGATTCCCTCCTTTTAAATTCAACTCCAAAGGCTTTCCTTTCCCGGTTGGTTCCATCACAATGAAGTAAGTTGCACAACAAGATTCATGACGTCGTATATCCCATCTACTCATTCAATTTCGATCCCATGTGCTATGGGACAGCCGGCTCTCCAAGCCGTACCCATTCTCGAGGAACATCCATGCTGCGGTTCACGCGGCCTCCTGGAGTGAGGGGTACGTCGACGCGTCCACGGCCACGTTCATCTTCGTCATGTTCCTCGTAAAATGATAAGCGTGAGAAATAGTCCTGCAAGACAGACTCTCTGTCATTATCGCCCACAATCGAGTTGTACTCTGGGGGTGGGGTGATTAGTGGCGGTGGAGGTGGAACGTCTTCAAACGCAGGCGGAGCAAAGGATGGCGCTCGAAGAAGGTGCATAGGACGGGGGGAACGCTCATTCGCTTCATGCGCGAGATGAGCTTGCGGCGGACGAGCCAAGCCCCCGGAGCCGTTAGTGAAGCTGCGAGATACAGTTCCGCCATTCGGTGCGTCTTCCCGATCGGACGCTAGTAGTTGGCTGCTTGAGCTGTTTCTGTTTACCATTGCCGCTCCAGGACAACCGCATTCGTACTCTTTCGTCGGCGGACCTGGATCTGAGCTTGGCGTGGTGTACGCAGGAAGATAGATGTTGGCTTGCGTGGCCTTGCAGGAGAGAAGGTGGAAGGGAGAGTCAATGGAGATCTCGAAGTGCCTGCGCTTATTCGGGTCGCGCTCATCCAGTCTGGAAAGACGCAGCACAATCTGGATATCAAGTCAGTCAGCAACAATTGAGAGATGTTAAACGTAGGCGATCTCACCTTGATCCAGTGATTGATTTGGATATTCTCGTAGGTCGTGTCAAAATGCAGTCGTTGCGATTCGTCCCGATTCTTCATTTCGTGGCAGCTGGGAAGTTGAACATTGAACTCCATTTCGGTCGGGCCGACCCCTGAATCGTTTGCCAAATTTCCTAGTAGATTCGTCCGGTTACGATCCACCATCTCCTCGCCTCTCGCAGCGGCCGCACGATGATCCCAATCAATGCCGCCACCTGCAGTGACACGCATCGAGCTGCCTGGGTAGGTGCTCACACTGGCAGAATCCGCTCGTTTCTCGAAAAGTAACACTTTCTTCGCTGGCTGCAGCCGATGCACACTCTTGTCTGCTGTCCAGTGTTGAATGTTTTCTGTGACATAAACCTTGATCCGGTGACACTCAACCTTGGCTAAGGGTGTCAATTTGAAGGCGATAGGCACCTGAGAGCCTAGCGGGAAAGACTTCCCTGAAATTACGATATCGTAGTGCAGTTGATCCTCCCAGTTCCGAGAAATTGCGATGGGCTCAACCTGCTCCAACGAGCCCTCGGCCGGGGTACGAATCACGGGCACTTCCAAGGTGCCCAGCAGATTAGGCCGGAACGCGCCCGACCGCTCAACAATGGCCTCTAAATCGTATCTGACAAAGCCTAGATCGGTCTTGATCGTCTCTGGAAGAGAGCCATCGATGGGAAATTCGAAGTTATACAGGTAATCACCAACTGGAAACATCCTGTAGTTGCGCTGGGGATGCGACTGGTTGCTGGGCGGCATTTCGTTCTTTCCAAAGCTGCGCGAGTGTGCGTGATTGGCTTGTAATGAGAGACGTTTGAGCTCTTTCGCAGTCAACTGACTGTGATTGAGAAACGGGGACGATCCACTCTTCGAGAAGAGTTCCCGGGTAGTCGTTGTCGACCCATCTTTGCCTGTCACCGAAGTCACCGGCTTGGCGTGCTGGTAGAAATGTGCTCCGTAATCGTTCTGCATGAGGGCAGTATCCCCGTGGTTAAAATACATCACCCCATGAGTGACCAGGTCTTTCTTGTCATGAAAATGGATCTTCTTCGGCGGAATTCCTGGGAAAGAGTTTCGGAGTCAGCAAGGCTCTTTTACTGACAGCAAACAGTCTTGTGATTGAGTAAAGCATACCGTCAGGCCAGTCGGTCTGGGCGTGACCACGGAAGCATATCGAGATCTTCTTGATCTTGACGCTCTTGGTGATTTTCAAGTGCAGTTGCCCGCGGAGTATGGCGGATTTCTTGGTACTCGGATCATTCTGATCGTAACCTTGAAGAAACAACACGGGCTCTGTTAGCGCAATTCCAACAGCGATACCGCTTCCTGTCGCGACGATCTTCTCATGGCGGAGAGGAGGGAACGGCGCCGCTGCGTCCGACACTGATGAGCTATCTGGTACCGATGCCGGACCCTGAGTCATAGAGACCGTAGAGGAAGAATCGGATCGCATCCTGCTCGCCGCTGCAGCAGAGACTAACATTCGCGCATCATTAGGAGATAGTATAATCTCGGACACAGGACGGGGCCGAGCGGTCCGGGACATTGGGTGGGTAGCGGTAGCGGAAGTAGTGGTGGTAAGTGGTGGCGACGATGAGCAGTTAATGGGCGGCGCGCCCAAGCGGAGGAATCGCTTTGCGTTCTCCCGTGGCCCCGCCAGCCTTCTTAGTATAGAACTGCGACGATTCTGGCCTTGTTTAGGAAATTGCTCGACCGCAAGATCCGTGTTGGCTGTAGTTGAAGTAATCGACCGACGTCGCTCTGATCTGGAAGTGAACAGACTAGAGAGTGATGGGAAAATGTCAGGGTTTCCCGACCTAGATAGGTCCTGTTGTACGGGAGAGAGGTGAGCTGCTGTCATGAAGGATACCGAGTCAAGTGCATAATGGACTGGACGGATGAAATTGGCACTGGAATGATCTTATACAGAAGCCAGGAGCTCTTGGATAAGAGACAGAGCAGGAGAAGGCCGAAGGAGAGGTAGAAGATAGGTAATAAAAAAAAAGGTGAAAGTGAAGCGAGTGACACAAGAGTGTTAGAGAAAGAGCAACAAACTTACCCCGTGTTCTGCAGCTCCCAAGTAATATTAAGGATGATCTCTTCCTTTTTTCTTCTGTCTATTATTTTATTTTGGGAAAATAAAACAATAATGAATGCCTGTGCTTTTGCTTTCTTACGCACACTCCCACCACATTGAGTCGTGCGACTACTTCCCTCTCTATCCTCTCGTTTCTTTTTTCCTTTGGCGCCTCTTGACTTTTGGGGCTTTTGCTGCTTTGGCTGATGATCGACCACGCAAGGAGCCACGCCGATTTTGGCCCGACGGGGAAATGAGGCGTTTCCCCAGAATCGTTTGACTGAATTTCAGTTGCGTCGGAAAGAGTGGTGATAGTACTCCAGACTGTAGTCAGTCGACTCTTCAGTGTCTCGGTTATTCTTTGGTTACTTCGGCTTGGAGTGAGGGGAAACACACAGCCTGGTGATCACGATCACCACAAACCACTAACTCGATTGCAGGCCAGAAGGGCCGATGACGCGGGGATTGCTGGAAAGAGAGCAAGTTGGTTGTCAAGGGTCGATACACAACACCAAAGGAAGAGAGACAGGGTATGCTAATGATAGGTACAAGGCAATCACTCCAGCGAAACAGAGTTGCAGGATGGCAAATTCCCAAGAACCTAAACAGAAGAGGTGACGGAATAGACACGATGGCAGTGAGGCGGTGCGGAACAGATTGTTAACAGTTTGTTTGTTCGTTCCTTGGGTGATCGACGGAGTCTTGGTATTATTGCCATTAAACAGTCGAACCTCCTAAGAGTTTCGCAGTCTCTTCTTCGGGCCCAGAAGGTAGATTATATTAGATATCATGAATCTATGGTTGGGGAAATAACTCCACGATGACGCGAAACACCGGCCGAGGAGTCGAGCCACCACTCCAGGTCGCTGAATATGGATCCGGCGAGCCGACAGACTGGCTTTGGCCCATAGGTATACGTACTATCTACGAAAAAGAGTCCGGATCATATACAGAATGAAGTCCAATAACAAGTCGACCTTCAATCTGGGACCTAAATTCCATCGGCTTTCATTCGCGCGGTCTTCGGGGTAGGTTCCTGGCAACTCAAATCTCAAGGTGCTCAGTACTTTTGCCGGTAGACTTCTTGCTTTTGTCGTGTAGATCATTCGCAAAG